AATATTATTTTATTCAAAGTAGAACAGATATTGGAGAATTTTTTCTCTGGGTAGAACAGAAATATTTTTGGATTGATTTGAGACATAATTTCTCCAGGTATAGTGCTTGATAGGAGAGTATTGGATTACATCAATACTTGACGTTTAACAGTAAACAAAATCCAAGTTTGCGTCATTTCCCTTCAGATGAGATTAGATCCAGAGAAACTATTTCGTTAGAACATCAAAGAAAGATTAGTAAAGAGTCATATCACAGTTTGGAAAAGAGGGATCAGTTAAATAGAAAAAAGGTTGAAACATGCTTTTTTACTTATAGACAATGTTAAAATCAGAAGAGATATTAAAACTTTTGTAAATATGCTAAAATAAAATCTCAACTTTTTTTAAAGATCTAACTGAATGGATGTCAAATTTATTATTTTGTATAGCACAGATACAACAACAAAATCTCTTGCAAGAAAGTTTAATTTTCTAAACCCTGTATCTTTGAAACTGATCGTGTAAACCTTTGATATTTCAAACTTTTACTTTTTGATTAAAAAGATTAGAGTTTTGGTTTTCTAAGATATTTAAATTAGAACATAAGATTTCGTGACGAGTGTTTCCTTTATTCTTGAGAATTATACAATTTCAGATTTTTTCATTGGAGCCCTTTGCAGACATACCGTAGATAACTATAGTGCAAAGCGAGGAGGTTTTTTTAATTTTCAAAAATTCTAATTATGTATGACAGCAACTTAAAGATATGCAACGTAGGTAGAAAATTAACATTCTTTTTAAAATTCAGGAAAATGCAATAAAATATCACCGACCCCCCCCCCCCCCCCGCCTGTCCTAAATAGGGGCCTAGGATGACTTTAATGTTTTAGTTTTATTTGAAAACAAAAGTAAATTATCATAATTCTTACTTTAAAAATTATCTAAGCAAAAGACAATGTTATTTAAAAACTTGCAAAAGAAAACAATTTTATCGTCTACTCCCAAACCTCTAATAATCCTTTTATATTTCTAAGTTTGGCAAGTGAATCTAGCAGATTTCAGGTTGCAAAAATATATGAATCAGAAATCAGTTTCTCAAAAAAGTCTAAGTTTGAATTATCAAAGGTTTACACCACCAGGTAGAAAAGTTAGAGGGACTAGAAGATTTGAGTTTGTGGCAAAAACTCAGTTCCTTTTTAAGAAACAATGAAACAATGGTAAAAAAGTAACAAATACTCCATCCCTTGACCAAAACTTTCAAAACTTTAGTTGTGAAATGTAAACTGTACAATCTGAAGGTTTAAAATATATATTTATATCTAATGATTTGTGTTTATTTCTATTTTTAATACGTAGAAGTAGGGGTGAGGGGGGGGACTTTGTTTGGTAGCAAATTCTTATTATTCAAAGTCATGCGCCCTGCTCAGGCGGCGGCGGCGAGTTTGTTTTTGAGGCGGCGGGAACTCCTGGTAAATGTGGTTATTCAGTTCTAACTAGTCACACTAATTCAGGTTTCATGGTATTATTAAATTCTACATGGTTGAGATTAGAACTAGGCAGAAGTAATTTATTCATAGATTCATCAAGTTATTAATATACCGATTCATGGTTTCATTGATTCATTGATTTACTGATTTTTCGATTCATATACTCGATTCATTTAGTTATTGATTCATTGGTAACCGATTATCGAGTTATCCATTAACCGAGTTATCGGTTTATCGAGTAATCGATTTATTTAGTAATTCATTTATCGAATAATCGATTTATCGATTTATCGAGTAATCGATTTATCGAGTAATCGATTTATCGAGTAATCGATTTATCGAGTAATCGATTTATCGAGAAATCGATTTATCCAGTAATCGATTTATCGAATAATCGATTTATCCAGTAATCGATTTATCCAGTAATCGATTCAGAAAGTAACTGATTTATCAAGTAATCAATGGATAGAGTAATTGATTTATTGATTTATCAAACCATTGATTCATCAAATCATTGAAATACTGAATTATTGAAATATTAAATGGTGATGCTGATTTTTAAATGTCTGAAGGTTTTAACAAGAACCTGAGTCCTTAGTTTTCTAGTTTAGCCAAGCTTAATAAAACTTGAATTCTTCCTTATCATCTGATAGTTGATAAATATTACAGGGTTGTTAAATGTTCTACCACCACCCTCCACTTAGCTAAATCTGAATCTGATTACTAGAAAACTGAACTCCTTATACACCCCTGGTGACTATTTTAAAAACTCGTTTCTAGAAAGAATTTTTCCATTCGTGTGTCTCTCTCTCTCTCTCTCTCTCTCTCTCTCTCTCTCTCTCTCTCTCTACTTTTCAAAGAGTTAGACATTTAGAGCAAAGAATTAAAGTGTTAGTTATTTCGAATTTTATAATGGAGGTTCGGTAGCTAGGTTTCCTAAAAGATGGTTGGATAGTAAGATTTCTAAAATGGAGATCAGATAGTGATGTTTTCTAAAGGGAGTTTGATAAGTTTAAGGTTTTAAAAAGGAGGTGTTTTTTTGTTGGTTTAAAAAAGAAATTTGGTTAGCTAGGTTCGTTAAAAGTAGTTTGGTTTTTAAAAAGTAGGTTTGTTTAAAGCAGGTTTGTAAAAAGTAGGTTTCCAAAAAGGAGATGACTTTTTAAGTTTTTTTTTAGAGGAAGTTGGTTAGTAAGTTTGTTAAAGTAGAGTTAGCTATATAATTGTGACGTTAGATTGCTCCATGTTCTCTATTTTACGATATTAAAATTAACTTTTCTACTATTTTCCAAATATTTACGAAAATGAATTATTTTCTATTTTTTCTGTATTAAAGTATTATTTTAACAAAATTAAAGATTATTTTTAATTCTTTTGTGTACAAAAGTGTATGCCTAAAATGTTCATGATCAAACTTTCGTATAACAAATCATTTTAAAAAAATTAAACAATTCTCTTTTAAAAAAATTAGATGTTTGAAAAAAAAACAATTCTCCTGTATTCTGAACCGGGAACTTTTGAATTAACGAAATGAGTATTGTTGTTACTCTTTCATCCTGTATTGTACATAATTTTCAATACCATGAATCAACTAATATATAAATATAAATATCAAAGTATTATGAATTATGTTGTCCGTTTACTCCAGATGCTTTATGTACTATTAATATCAATTATGTACTAAATTTAGAATTTTTTTTACAGATAAAATAAAGTGAACAGAAAGTGTGAAAAAGCATATTTAACGCTTTTAATAAAATGAATTTATTTTTCGAGCTCTATGCAGTTAGAACCTTTGTTATCTCTCATGTGAACATTTTAAAAAAGATAAGCTAGGGTTCAGTTGAAAGAGAGCAGTCTAGTTCTTGTGAAATCAGTTTACTCAGCTCAGGGTTATAATCCAATCCATCCCTAAATCTTTGCAAACCGATGCCGTAGACTTGATATGTTGATTTATGAATTCTGAGATAAAAAAGTTTGAACTATCATTGGTTACAAACTTAAAGTGATTACAGAATATTAGTTTGTTGCAAGAACTCAATTCCTTTAAACAAGAAGAAATAGCTTCTTATTATATTAATTTATTTTTGTACGTATTCTTCAATTGTTTTTGTGATTTTTTTATTAATCAAAAATCTCTATTATTTTTTTAAATACTCTTTCTCTTGCTCGTCCTCCTTTTTCCCAATTCTCTTCAAAAATCTCCCGTCTCACTCGATCCTTAATCTCCTGAATCTTTCCTAAATCTCAAAACCTCTTAAAGATCTCCAAACAGGCTGACTCTCTTCTAAATCTCCTGACTCTCCAATATCCCTTGCCTCTCCTAAATCTCCTATTTATCTCCTAAATCACCTGACTCTCCTTTATCTTTTATCTCTCTCCTAAATGTCCAAATTATCTCCTATATCTCTTGTCTCTCTCCAAAATCTGCCAGTTATCTCCTAAACTCCTGAATAATTGGAATATCCTACCCAGTACCAGTATGGGTGGAAAACTAAGTAAAAACACATATATTGTCTCCTGCGCTGCGGAGGAAGCAAAAGGTTCGACATTTATTTTGAAATTATCTCAAACTTCAGGAAAATATGTTTTTCTGATAAAATTTAATATTCCCCTTATTTTATACAGGGTTTACGTCATCAACTTCAAAATACAGCACTTTCTTTTACATTAGAATAACTAACATTTTTATTAAGTTAGGCTATTCACATGAAAAGGACAAATTGATAAGATAAAGATATCTTTTGATATGTATGACTCTTCAGAGTTTGCAAATGTCATAAATATTTTTTTAACATTAAGTCAACATCTTTATCTCTTTCTCATGACATTTTCTAGATCAGACATTTTAATATACGTTTATCTTTTTCATAAATACTTTAAGAGTTGATTCTAATGAATTCCACTAAATGATATTTCGAGAAGATCATTTTTATTTGATTTGTATTTGATCTTTATTCTGTATTCTGATCTTTTGTAAAAAATAATTGCCTATAATTATGTTTAAACTTCATACGTATGTTTATGTCTGTATTTTTAAAGCAAATAAACACGAAATGATTATCTATCATCTTTTTTTAGAAATTATTTTGGCAACTTCTGTATCTAATTGAGCCCACTGCATGAATTAACATATAAATAACCTTCTATTGGAAGAATTGGAAACGGTCTAGCTTCTAACATTTAAAATTCAAGATTTAATTTTAAATCATATAAAATTGAACGTGAGCTTACATATAGTAAGAGCCCTGAAATCATAACTAGTAAACTTAGCTAGTCTCCGAAACAACATTTATATTAACTTTAGTATATTTAAGAAAAGCTAAAAAAAAACTCAAAATATATTAAAAAAATATCATGTTGCTGTGATATTATCAATTTTTCATAAAATCATGAGATAACTTCAGTTTCATAATCTTATTTTTTTAACCTGTGAACATATTGACATGGAAAGTTAAAAAATTGAGCTTTGTCCGGAAAAATATAGTTCTTTGTTTCATTTTTCATGATAAATTAATTAATTAGTCACGTGTTTAGAAGAACCAGTATACAACGCTACCCGGAGAAAATCTGTATTTGCCGAGGCTTACAATCCAGAAGATGACGAGGGGACAGAGGAATCTAAGGTAGGACGTTTTAGAGACTGTGATAGAACGCTTTAGAGGCTCAAAGAGGATCTTTTATAAACTCTGACAGGACGGTTTTAGAGACTTTGATAGGACTTTTCCAGCGATAAAACGATTTGGATGTTTTGACAGAACGTTTTAAGAGGACGTTTCGGAGACTTTAAAGGACGTTTTAAGAGACTTTGATAGATCGCTTTAGAGGCTTAAATAGGATCTTTTATAAACTTTGACAGGAAGGTTTTAGAGACTTTGTTAGGACTTTTCCAGCGATAAAACGATTTGGATGTTTTGACAGAACGTTTTAAGAGGACGTTTCGGAGACTTTAAAGGACGTTTTAAGAGACTTTGATAGATCGCTTTAGAGGCTTAAATAGGATCTTTTAGAAACTTTAACAGGACTTTTTAGAGACTTTGATGAAACGTAGAAAGGACTAGAGTCTCTTATGAAGTCTTTAGGTCTTTTTATAAGACACGATATGGAAATGAGAACCGAAGATATATAGAAATAAGCGTATTTGATTGAATATCGCAAATATGTTTATTAGAATTATTAAATCTAAGGTTAAGGCAACGGAAGTAGAAGCTTCAGGAAGGTTTAGAGTATGGTTATAAGTAACTAAGAAAAGAAAAGAGAAAATAGGGAAGGATAAAGAAAACTATATAGAGAGGATTTCGGAAAGGTTAACATAACGCAGAAATAAGAATAAGAAGGTTAGGATCGGAAAGGCTGCAAGTATAAGTCTTGTAGTCTTAACTCTAAAGGACTTGAGTATTTGCCACAAACTTAAATTTTCTCATCCTTATATTTTTGCAACTTAATAATGTAAACCTTTAAAGTTTCAAACTTAAATTATTTGATCTGACAGAATTAACAGTTTGAATTATCTAAGGTCTACGACATTTGGTTGCAAAGTTATCGGGATTATAAATCAGATTTGTGGCAAAGACTCAATTCCTTAGACTCATCTCTAAAGAAAATAGTCCCAACACATCTCAAGGTTTAAGGATTAATCCATAATCTATTTAAATGACGACTTATATAGTCTTGAGACTTATTTCACACAGAATTATTTAAATCGGTGCCTGTGGAAAAGTAAAGAAGGAAGGCAGGTTTAAACAGATAATGTCGATGAGAGGGAAGACAGAGAAAGTTGTAAGAAGGAAGAAAAAGATGTCATAAATCAAGAATTACAAGAAAGATGGAAAGATGACAAAAACGAAAAGCAAAAAAAGAATAAAATGGTGCAGGTTGGAAAAAGAAAATTGGAGATAAATTTAAGAAAATAGTTTGGGATTGATCAAAGGAATACATTTTTGCTATAAGATTTAGGTTTAGGTTTACCCTCAAAATAGTTGAACTTTTTAAAGAAAAAAGGGTGATTCATAGAAAAACAACGGAAGAAAGAGAAAAAGAATGAAAGAAAAGAATAATTGTATAGTTAAGTTTAAAGGGAATACAATGGAAAGGGAGTAATTATTAATTTCTTAGAACTTTCTTTCTTGGATTTATTTGATTAATTTGATTAATTGGAATTTATTTTAATTATTATCAAGGTGGTTCACCCTAAAACAGATGATCAAAGATTGAGATTGGCGGAAGCTGTAAAGGACTGTCTTCTGTTCAGGTAATGAAACATAACTGTACACTGCACACTGTACACTGTACACTGTACACTGTACACTGTATACTGTACTGCACACTGTACACTGTACACTGTACACTGTTCAAAGTACACTGACACTGTACACTGTACACTGTACACTGTACACTGTACACTGTACACTGCACACTGTACACTGTACACTGTACACTGTTCAAAGTACACTGACACTGTTCAAAGTACACTGACACTGTACACTGCACACTGCACACTGCACACTGCAAGCTGTACAGTGTCCACTGTTCACTGTAAACTGTCCACTGATACTTATTTTCATTTCTTTTTTTCTATTTCTATGAAAATTTTAATCATGCAAAGTTAACGATTTGTCTAGTATTTTTTCTTTTTGTTTCTTAAAATTTTAAAGTTGTGAGACGTAGTTTAAAAGGACTTTTTATTTAGGAATCCATACAAGTGGTTTTTTGAAATTTACAATGTTTACGATATGATTTCTGACGTTCCTTGTATTCTAAGAATGATAAGAGATATGAGATTTTATAGCAGTTTATGAGATAAAGCATTAAAAATGCATTCCTGAATTGCCTTTTCCTATTTGTGACGACATGTTGTTTATTTTTCTAAAAAAAGAAATGTAAAATATTATACAAAGGAAATGAGTCTTTGTCACAAACTCAAATTTTCTAATCCTTATATCTTAGCAACTTGATGGTGCAAACCTTTGATATTTCAAACTTAGATTATTTGGTCTACCAGAATTCGTAGTTTGAAATATCTAAGGTCTACGGATATGGGTTGCAAAAATATAGGGATTAGAAATTCTGAGTTTGTGGCAAAGACTTAAATCCTTTCTTTCATTTATTTAATTTACCATTTTTAGATCTCTTGATATGGATCAGCTGAATGAGATTTTAGACGCCATGTTTGAAAGGAAAGCTGTGCCCGGAGAAACTATTATTACTCAGGTAGGAAAATAAAGCTAAAAAAAAAAATATACAAATACCCCCCCCCCCACATTTTCTACCTCGTCTTTGTTTATTGGAACATAAACAAAACACAACTTGTGATGTGCAATAAGTTGATTAGTTTTTGTTTCGTTTTCGGTTAATTTTTGGTTCGTTTTTGGTTAATTTTTGGTTCGTTTTTTGGTTAATTTTTGGTTCGTTTTTGGTTGATTTTTGGTTCGTTTTTGGTTAATTTTTGGTTCGTTTTTGGTTAATTTTTGGTTAATTTTTGGTTCGTTTTTGGTTAACTTTTGGTTAATTTTTGGTTAACTTTTGGTTCGTTTTTGGATTTTTAAAAGGTTCCTTAAAAATCTGAGAAGTTTTACAAATATAGAAATTGTTCATTCTAAACATTTGCTTTTCTTACACTTGTCTTCCTTTTCCACGGTTTTATTGGATCCCACTGTACACTACAGGGTGTTCTACATCATATATTGAATCCCACTGTACACAACAGGGTGTTCTACATCATATATTGAATCCCTCTGTACACAACAGGGTGTTCTACATTATATATTGAATCCCTCTGTACACTACAGGGTGTTCTACATCATATATTGAATCGTGCATTTAGCTCAAGATTGGGAAATCATGATAAAATAAGCTTGAATCATTTAAAGCAAATCCAAAAGTTTGCATTCGGAAAATATACGATTTTTGAGCACTCTATTCGTAAGACAATCAAGTTTGATATGGGACACTCTGTACAAAATCTATTAATAAAGCTGGGGGAAAAATCAATATATGAGCGTGGATTATGATTAAAAAAGAGAATCCAATAAAAGATAATAACCAATAGATTTTTATAATTTTATTTCTTTTGAATTCAAGGGAGCAGATGGGGATAATTTCTACGTAGTGGAGAGCGGACTCTACGGAGTTTATGTTAAGACAGGTATAGTTTTAATTTAAAAGTTTCATCATACGCCCCTGCAGATCTTCATCAAAGTTATTGTTAAAACATTGAATGATAGTTAAAAAATGTACATGAGAAATTCAGAGGTAACCATGTACACTATACACTGTACATATTGTACAAGATCTAGGCAATGACGGCATTTCTTTAAAAGTTAAAAGTCTATATTTCAAATAACTCAGATTTAAGATACAAAAACGATAAGTCACATTTTGGAAAGTTCAGGCGTCTCGCGTACAATTTTATTTTCGTAGAAACATTTAATATTGTCCTTAATTTATTTTCAAAAATCAAACACGATTTTCTTTTCGTATTCATTGGACAACATTTTTGAAAAAATTTAATTTAAAAGTTTTATTTTAATCTTCTACAAATACAATTCTTTAGAAGCCAAATAAATCTTCCCCCACAAAATTATTCTCCTTTGAGAGAAAAATGAAATTTAATAATCTAATAACTTGGAAGTTTTTAGAGAGAAAAAGTTGGTAATCAAATTTTCTTTAACATGGACTTTCTGTGAAAAAAGTTTTTTGAAATTAAATTGATTTTTATTTTTATTTTTGATATTTTTTATCAAAGATATAAAAAAGTATAAAAAAGATGGGAATCTAAAGGCATATCAAGTTTTACGATGCTATAAATTATCATTTGATGCAAATTCAGAAGGTTATTCAATTATGATATAAATCAAGTTTCAATTATTCAATTATGATATAAATCAAGTTACAATTATTCAATTATGATATAAATCAAGTTTCAATTATTCAATTATNTGTTCATAGATAATCTTATGAATTGTTGTATCACGTGTCAGTTGTCACAAACTTTAATTTCCAGATTCTTGTGTCTTTTTTACTCGATTTCACGGACTTTTACTTTCATATTAAAATCTATAAATTAGTTGTAGTTTGAAATATTTAATGTTTTATCGTTAGGTCGCAAAGATATAGGGATTTTGCTTAAAAATCTGTTAGGATTTCATTTGTGCATAGCTCTTTATTGGGATTATGATTGCAAGCCAATACATTGGGCCTTTTTCGTAAAGTTTTTTTGTTACTTTGTAAGGAATAAACAAATATTTGTGGTAACATACGATAGATTGCGTTGTACATACCAAAATCTCAATTATTTTTTATTAAATTCCGTAAATTTCTGGAATAATACATTAAAACAAATATCACGTCGGGATTGGAGATTAAGGTTGCAGGGATTAGGTAGAGATTATATTTGGGATTAGGATTATATATGAGTTGGGATTAAGAAGAGATTAGAATCGGGATTAACATTAAATAGATTAGAATTGGGATTAAGAAGAGGTTAGTGTTGGAATTAATATTAGATTAGACTTAGGATTAATATTTTATTAGAATTGGGATTAATATTATACTAGAATTGGGATTAATATTATATTAGAGTTGGGATTAATATTATATTAGAATTGGGATTAATATTAGATTATAATTGGGTTTAATATTAGACTAGAATTGGGATTAATATTAGATTATAATTGGGTTTAATATTAGACTAGAATTGGGATTAATATTAGACTAGAATTGATGTTAAGATAAGATTCTGAGAATATGTAGATACATTAGGATTAGTTATCTTGTTCTTGTAATATCGAGATCATTATTGTACAATGTACACCCTGTATATGTTTCTAGACGCTGGTCCTAAGAAGGTGATGACGTATGAGGGGAAGGGAAGTTTTGGAGAGCTTGCACTACTGTACAACATGCCTAGAGCTGCAACTGTACAGGTAAATGGTCTTCTTGCATAATCTCTATAGTTTAGAAATTGTGATTTGTACATCCATTTAGGTGAAGCTGCAATGTAGGTATATGTGTGACCTATTATTAGTGCGTCCTCATTCGTGCAACCTATTAAGTGTGTCCACATAAATAATAGATAATGTTGTCATGCTAATATGAGGAGCACATTTAGTATCCTATTACTAGTATTATTGAAAGTAATAAAAAGACCCCTAATATAGAATTGTTTAAAGCTATTCCAATACTTATTTTTTTGACGGAGGAAATTATTTTTTCAGATTTTCTTTTTCTTCATAACTTGAATGAAAATGTAAATTTTGAGTCTATGACATAATTCTTTCTATGTCTAAGAATAATAATATATCTACCGATACTTGATATTCAAGGAAGATGATTCTATTGCGTGTTCATTAGTCATACATATACTCTAAAACAACTTAATACTGTAGAGTGTAGATATATTAATTTTAAATAGTTTTGGGAATTTTTTTATCACACATTGCATATGAGCTTTGAATAGCACTGTTTTCAATAAAAATAGCCTCAATCTTTATATAGGGACACTGCCCCCCGCCCNTTATTATTATTATTATTATTATTATTATTATTATTATTATTATTATTATTATTATTATTATTATCATTATTATTATTATTATTATTATTATTATCCTTGTATGAATTCAGGGTGATCCCGCCAACGGAATGTACTTTGTCGAAAATGGTACTGTTTCTGTACTCAAGAAAAATAATACAACAGATGAAGAACTTGAGGTAAAAATAGAGTCAAACAAAAATGGTTTTTTGTATTTTATTTTATTTATTTTATTTATTTAAATTTTCTCTTTTGTTACTAAAACAGAAAAATGAATATCCACTCCACATATAGTGAGAAAATATTAAGATAAAGGTGAAAATATAAATCTTTTATTCATGGAGGAAAATTATATTCATTCTTTGCTGTTATTTTCTGGGAAATTTCCTTGCCTCTCGTTTTAAGTTATGTAATGGATTTAAATATGGTTCATTTTTGTAATTTAAGACCGGCTTCATCTTGGAGAATTTTTCGGAAATGTCGTTTTCAAGTTAAAACCCGATTTTTAAATCTAAATATTTTTGCGTTTTAATATTTGTCGTTTGCGTTTTATAATCTTTAATTAACAAGTGAAATTATTTAAAAGCAAACTATCTCTGAACATTAACAAAGTTTAATAGGTTTAAATGGCCGCGGTCTAGAACTTTGAATTCACGTGCATTAAACTTTTTGTCAAAGGAATAGAGCCTTTGTCATAAATATCAAAGGTTTACACTATCAGGTTGCTAAGAAAAAGGTGGTTAGAATATTTTAGTTTCTGGCAAAAACTCAGTTTAACTTATTGTTAACTATGCTACAGGTGAACCAAGTGAAGGAAGGAGGATATTTTGGTGAGATTGGACTTATAACTCATCAACCCAGAGCTACTTCCATCCTTGCAGTAGGAGATGTCAGAGTAGCATGTTAGTATTTTCAATTTCTCAACTACAGGGTTACCCACAAAGAATGAGACTGTAAAGACGACCTGAAACTCATAAAATATGACGACTACAAGGTTAAAGTATGTTTTTTGACTTGAATATTGTCTAATTTTTTAATATTTATTGACATGGCAACGATAGAAACCAGTGTTACAGAGAATCCTATATATAAGGAAATAGACAATATAAACTATAAGTTCTGTATAGTTGTCTCTAAAGTCTCATGCTTTGTAGGTAACCCTGTACAATCAACTTAAAGGAAGTATTACCTATTAAAGGGAATTACCTAATTTGTAATACATAATAACCCCTTAATTTTGGAATGAGAAGCAGAGAGAGGCCTTTCTCAATATAATTATAAATTTTGTATATCACATGGGAAAATTCCAGGGGATATTAGTTCTAAAACTAACACTTTTTAACACTAAATGTTTAAAATGGGCCAAGTCTGCAAAGTTATCTTTTTCAAGCGTATATATCTTTAAATCCAAGTCGAGTTGAACAAAACTACACCATGCAGTTATAAAAAATAGCTAACACAATAAATCGAAACAAAAAATGTCAACTTTAAACTAACAATAAGGTGATACGTAAAAAACGCGACAATGATTCAAATTCAGGATATGTTCGAAAATGGAAAACCTGACATTGTCATAAAAAACAGTCAAGGGTTTTAATATAAAGAAGTCCTTTTATAGTTTTATTTCAGAAAAAAAGTTAGAAAAATTGGGATTGTTGTACTCGTCATGTTTAATAAAATGTTGGTTATAGTTTTTATAATCGACTTTTACTCTTAATATGGGCCGAGATCCCAAAAACCCAGTCTTTCAATTTGTGCCTATTTCTAACACTCAGTGTTAAAGTGTTATTTTTGGAACTAGTTTCCCCTGAATTCCAGAAACATGAACTTGATTACGGTTTGTATATCACAATTTTAAACAATCATCAATTTTCTTTAAATATATGTTTTTTAATGTGCCAAGCCCTGAATTACTTTGTACTGCATTTTAAGAAGTATAATTAATTCATCAGATTCGTATTACATTAATATTTTACTCCTAGTTCTCCTTGACTTGACTTGACTTGACTTGACTTGACTTGACTTGACTTGACTTGACTTGACTTGACTTGACTTGACTTGACTTGACTTGACTTGACTTGACTTGACTTGACTTGACTTGACTTGACTTGACTTGACTTGACTTGGCGGATTTAGAATTTTAAGTAAATTTTAACTCAAGTATTGGAGGCTAATCAATAGCTTGCTCATTTATTCAAAAGAATTTCACAAAATTAAAACTTTATTGAGCAATTTATTTCTCTTCTGGATGATTTGAGAACTTCATGAGATGATTGTATTGTAAATCAGAGTTTTTTCATGTTTTCTTTCATTTTTAAACCCAAAAAATCGAACCGTTTTCTTCTAAAGATCTAAATTTTTGAAGAAAGTTGATTTTCCAGTATCGTTATTTCTGGCATTTGTATCTGCAGCCTTAACTTTTGGTTTTACAATGCTTGCTGAATAACTGACTCTGATCTATTTAGGTTGAGATAGTTTCCGATTTCTAGTATTTGATATAAATCCAGATATTAAAAAAAACAATATCTACTTAAAAATGATAAAATTAATTTGTCCAAATGTTTAGTTCTGGACGTGTCAGCTTTTGAACGATTGCTGGGTCCCTGTATGGATATTATGAAGAGTAGGATGCCAGAGTACGAGGAACAGCTTGCTATTGCATTTGGTTCAAAGGTAAGTTTATATACAAAAGTTTGAGTGTAAATATGAAAAGGAATTGAGCCTTTGCCAGAAACTCAAATTTTCTTATCCCTATATATTTACAACCTGATGGTATTAACCATTGAAACGTCAAACTTTGATTTTATGATCCAACAGAATTCATAGTTTTAAATATCTAAAGTCTTCTTCATTGGGTTTCAAAGATATAAGGATTAAAAAATCAGAGTTTGTGGCAAAGACTCATTTTCGTTGCATATTTGATTTAGTTGGGAAAAACTGGGGGTTCAAAATTCTTAGTTGAACAGAAGCTGAAGCGTAACCTTATATATGCTGCCTGGCGCTTCGAGATTGCTCAAAATTCGTAAATATCATTTGCTTTATAACAGTCAAGTTAGGCATTTGGGAGCTTCATAGGCTAGAGAGCTAGAGGACCAAGCTCTGCTATGATATGGTAGGGGGTTTGATTTGATGCAGAGCTGATAACATATTAAGTCATTGCGCAAATGCAAAATGGTCCTTGGAGGAAATGAAGTGATATGGCAAATGGGCAGAGAGCAGATGTCAACGTCAACGATTAATTGAACATAGCATATTTGTGATTAAAAAGTCTAAAATATATATCGCCCCTGGTAGAGAAAAATGAATGGAAAATCTATTCATTCAAATTTGTTCTTCAACTAAAATTTTATTATAAACATATTTTTTACATTTTTTAAAGACTAAAATGATTTTTCTTTACAAAACTTTTATTTTAGGTTAAAATATAAAAATAAGCAGCTTCTCCTCCCCAACCCCTCCCACTCCCCCTCGTGTTAACTGCCCAGTCAGATGCCAACCTAGTCAACCACATCCACATCACCATCTACTCGTCGAACTCGTCCAAACAGGAGATTATTCTTAATCTCAATGCAAATCCAGGAAACTCAAGTTTACTCTGTGCAGTGTACACTCAACAGAAAAAAAATTGCAGATTTTCAGATATATCACATTTAGCGGATTCTATTGCAAGGGTAGCAAACTATTCATTATCCAATACATTATGAGTATTTGTAAACAATGAATTTCATAAACAAACAAACATCTAGTTGTTGCTTTAGTGAGACAGAGGTGAAACAAAAATGCAAAAATTTCTAGTTTTAAATTTTTAAAGAATCTTACATTTAGAGGGTTGGATAGGTCATTGTGAGACTTAATCAACCAATTTATGGTTGTTTTAAGATGGTGTGGTATTATTTGAAAATGTAAGAGTAGACAAGACCATTGGAGATTGAAAAAAAATTTTGAGTTTATAAAATACAAAAAGTAAGGCAATTTTTAAAAAAATTTAAACATATTTGTTATTTTTTCTTATGAATCATGTTTATAAAGTCAACCTACTATTCTTTCTCCTGCTTTTCCTACTTTTAAATCATTAATAATCCAACTGGGAAGAAATTAGCTTTTTAATAAAATATATAACTGTTGATAACGTCAAAATATGTCATTTGCGATATATCCTAAACAGCAAATTTTTTGTTAACGTGAGCAACAGCGAGAAATGAGATAACCATAAATTAAAATTGTTGATGTACATTTTGTAGATTTAAAACAGTTTGGCAAATGTGTGAACATTATTTATTGCATGTACAATATGTTAATTATATTAGTATATTGTGGATAGTTCATATATCCTTATTGTTGTTCTAACAGTATATATATATGATGTGTACGCTTAGATGTTAAAATTAAACCTCCTCCATTGTATTAACCCCCCTCCCCCATCCCTCTTCCACAAATATTTGGTAGCTTTTATTTACAATATGTTATACTTCATGTTTTTAAGATAAGAAATTTACTTGAATGTCCCCCTTCCCTTTTGATAACAAGAGCTTGAAATGAAATTTAAAATTGTAATTAGAAATTTATTATTTATTATGTTGTCAAATTTTCCAATTGTTATCTGATTTAATCTGACTTTATGCTATAATGCGGGCATTTTTGCAAACACGATTCTTAAAATACCTCACAATTAAAAAGCATTTCCATTTTTAAACTGTTGTGTGGTTTTTCTTAAATTCCCGCGCTATAAGTTAAAGATGTTTCTTTAGTTTCTAAAAAAAATGAGCTTAGTTTTTTAATTTTTAATTTATGTATGAAATATATCATGTATACGTACTGCGAAAACTTTCTGTGAGAGAAACTTTGTGTTGATTTTATAACAGGGTCAGAATTTTTTTTTTACATTTATCCAGTTCTAGGAATGGTTTCTATTTTTAAATAATTTGACATTACATTTCTTCGTGAAAGAAGTTGTTTTTCATTGGAAGGATTATATTTATACATTCCAAAGAATGTATAGACACAGAATTACTTCTGGATACATTAACAGCTCCATCTTTCAGTCCATGTGTGTCTCAGAGCTATCTGAGGAATACCAACATTCTCCATCTCCCGCGAAAACCAAATAGCAAAATTGCATTTTTTAAACCGTGTACGTACTATCTTTTCTAATTTAAATCCTTTTATTTTCGCTTTTATCTTTTTAGATTTCTTCCCTCTTGATTTTAACTCGTATACATAAGTACCTAGAATAGCCATCCTGAAGTTTGATGAGTCAGTAATTTACTTGTTTTCAATGAAAAATTAACATCTTTTAATTTAATCTTTAATAAAGTATTTGGTTTCCTTGTGGTGTTCTGAACTCTTTCTTCCCAAACAAAAAAGGTAAAGGAAAAAATTTCTAAAATAAATTTATAAAATGAAATAAAACGCTTAACAAAAATTATAGAACAGAAAACAGATTGTTTCATTTACATACATATTTAAAACATGGAGGTCGGAACAAATTAGCATTTTCTGATTCCAGACAAAAGAGCACCGGTTCCATTTATTTACTCAGCAGGGTTTTACAGGGTGTCCCAAAAAATATGGGAATTCAGTGACGAATTCGATATCGTCTTTGTTATGAATTAGCATTGTAATACCTGATTTTAAAAGTCATAATATTATTATGTCTGCTAAAGTTTATTTATGAAAACCGTAAATGGTTGTAAAGATGTGTCTATAATGTCTCCGCAAGATGAACAGTAAAGACGCGAAGATTGTGAAGATTGCGCATAAGACGACATTTTTCATCTTGAAAGATATAAATGTACAGAGATGTTTTAAAGATATTCCTATTATATAGATTAACTAGGTCGGTTGTGAACATTGGCTGTTCTTATGTCATTGAGTACGTGTGGTGTACATGAGTTCTATAGAGAGAAATTTAAGTTAGTTTAGTCCTTCTCATGTCCTTCTTCAGTTCACGTGAATATGATATATTGCTCAGTGAAATAAAATTCGTTCCTGGTTGGTTTAATAATAATGAAATCCATTAAAACACCAAACCAAAGTACACTTTGACCCCTAGAAGTATGAGTTCGCGGACTGAACAATTCTTGGTGATTTTGCGTAAATAAGCTATCTATGTTTATTTATTTATCTATGAGACGGACAAGCTTACTCTGCTTGTATACTGCAATTTTCTTGTTTTACTAAGTACAACCGTATGCAGTCAAAACGTAAACAAACAAAATGTGAACATAGCAGACGAAACTCTTACAGATTACAGCTTTCTCAGTAGGTATCGCTATACTAAATCAAAGAATTATTTGAAAAGACGATATCGAACTCGTCACTGAATTCCCATGTTTATTGGGACACCATGTATATCCTGCTGAGTATGACGTGGATCCGGATATTATCAAATTTAAACAAAATTTTAACTTTTTGTCCACCCTGTATTAACTAGTTGCAAGAAGGTAATATTTATCCCTCAGACAGCTGGGCTGAAGTATGCATATTGCATAACCCCTCTTCAGTGAACTTCATTACCCAAGATTGCAAATTTTTACAAAAACATCGATGAGAATTTTATCAATTACTTGTCAAAAACTAAAATTGAAAACAGTGGTATAGAGTTTCTAATATCAAGGGATATAATTGCATAAGTATGTAAGGTAAAATCGTAGGTCAGCGAGTTGCGACGCTTCAAAGTCGACCGACAGTCTTGAAAGTTGAAACTTATACAGGGTGTCCCACGAAACATGGCAGTAGAATGAGCCTTAGAGTTTTATATAATTTTTTGCATGTATTTGTCAACCTTATTTTAGAATTCTAAAATTCTAGAGTTAATAATCACTTAATACCCCTAGTCCTGGAATTTCCAAAATGTGGTTTGCCTTTTTTGGGGCTTTCAATTTTGTTTAGATTTCGGCAATTTTGGTTTTATTTAACAAAATTGACATCTGAACGAAATTCTTAATATTTCGGGTAACATTGAATACACAAAAAAGCAGACCATATTTTGTGAGTATTACAATAATTATAAATGTTAAAGTAGGTTGACGACTGAATGTCACAAATAAATTCAAAGGTCGTCTTGCTGCTGTCATATTCCGTGTTACACCCTGTATTATATCTCTCTAGCTGGATCTATGTGACAATCTCGTGTTGGTTCTAAAATGTATACTTCTCCAGGGCTACAAATGAGACCTCAAAGTTATACGGATCCTTAACCCATATAAACTCCATATTTTCATAGATCTCTGGATATCTCGAATACGCCCTTGAAATCAAGAATAAATTCTTTTAGAGGTCGTCATAGATTTGAAGTTTATTCTTCCTTCATATGAATATGAAAAATATCGTCTTCTTAGTACCATGTTCATTGTCGAAATCAGTCTTTATCTTTCTATAATATAATAGAGAATTTTAATGTAGGAATTGAAAGAAAAAGGCCTAAGATCAAAGATATATTATTTATATATACCAGAAACGTATTATCAAAATAAAGAGCCCCTTAAAACCGTAAGCAAATGTATAGATTAAATTATAGTGAAAAGATGAATCGATATCAAAAATATAGAAAGCCACATTCCCTCCCTCCCTCCAGGTAGAATTGGTAGATAATCAACCATTCTCATGGGAGCTTTCTACTCCTAGTTATACCAAGGAACCAGGTACCTAGAGAACATTTCTACTCCTAGCTAAACCAGGTAACTAGAGAACCTTTCTCACTCCTCCAGGGAGCTAGGCATGGAAGGTTACATCAACTCAGCCTTCTCAAGCTCAACATCAACCCTCTCTCGTCTCTGGGGTCGACAAAAGAAAGAGGAGAAGGATCCTGCCACACCGGAGAAAGTTTACGTGGTTGATCCAGATACGGATTTAGACATGGACAGTTTTCTCTCCAATCTTGAGAAGGATTCAGAGAGAAGAGATACAGACTCGTTCTACGACATAGATTTGAACTTCACAGATGGACAACTCAGGTTTAAATATGCGGATGAACCTAGTAACCTGGATTCTTATAGAAGTGGAGGGACCCTGAGTAGTAGATCTGGTACTGCAGCTAGAGATGGATTAAATATGATTGAACAATCAGCAACAGGAGAAATACCCCAGCCAGCTAGGAAGACAGGAGATTCAACCTATACCTCTGGGCGACCAATATCCAGAGCAAGTATGCGTGGAGTTCGTAGATTTACACCTCGTTCCGCCCTTCCGCCCTGTATACCAGAGGAGGCGGAGGATCCTGTGTTTACACGCCAAGATGACGGACGAATATCACTAAGGCTGGCACAGAATGAAGATATAACCATAAGTCAGGTAGAGTCTAGACCGAAAACGGCATTGGAGAAACCTGCTCCAAGTCCTGGAAACCTGTTTGGTCTGATTGATCAGAATAAACTCGCATCTCTCTTAAGAACTATTTACAGCCCTAGTTCTAGTACGGACACTTCACCTCGGGAAGGGATTGTTTGCTGTCCAGGTAAAATCATTATATTCACAAATTGAAAACATTTTTTACAACATTATGATTCTTGAATTATACAGGACTGTTCTCTTCTATTGACATCTCTTGTCTCTTGGGAGTTTGCTCTCTTGTTCTCCTCATCATGGCTATGGCTTCTCCCTACTGGATATCATCATATCATGAGACGCAATCCCCATTTATCCGACTAGGTCCGTGGGAGGCCTGCTTTAACCGGTTCCGTTATCCACGTTACCAGTTCGACCGGGTGTTTAACGGTTGCCACGCCGTCTGGGGCTGGGAGTACCGCCTTATCCGCGAATGGTTGCTACCGCCCTGGTTTCTGGTGGTTCAAGGTTTCCTTCTATTATCATTTATTCTCTGTGTTCTCTCAAGGCAGGGTTCAAATGTCAAACAGTATGAGTTCATTTTTAGTTAGAACCTCCATATGATAAAGGAATTGAGTCTTTGCCATAAACTCAAAATTTTGAATCCCTAGTCATTTTCAACCTGATGGTGTAAGCCTTTGAAATTTAAACTTTAGCATTGGATCTATTAGAATTTATAGTTATCTTGGGTCTTTGCCAATTTTTTGCATTTAATTACAAGACAAATGGTCTGCAAAGTAGTAGACTTTTTAAAAACAATTATCTGACTGTTAACATTAATCTTCTGTTTTAATAGTCTGCTGCTAATAGTTATTTTGTAAATGAGGATTGAGAATCAAGTAGAAGATAAGAATTGAGCTGCTGAGAACTTTCGATTCTAAATCTTTGACGCCGTCTCTGAAGTCTCTTTCTTTGTGGGTAAACCTAAATATTTCTTTCAAAACATCAATTTTACGTATTTTGCTTTCTTTCAAATAATTGGATTTTTAACCTCATGTATAATCTTTTCAAGCTAGATCAATATTGAACCCTCTGACTCTAGATGTCTCTCTGTCGTGATATTGGTTCGGTATCCTCTCCCTGTCCTGCTCAGGTTTGGATACCAACTTGTCCTCCTTGTATCCGTCCTAGATTTCATCATAGGATTCGTCCTTGCTCTTACCACAACCATATTTGGTATTTGCTGTTGGGGCAGGGAGTGGTTAATGTATCCGAACTATAATCATCTATCCTGGGGTTGGGTTGCAGTTCTTCTCTCCTCCTTCTTTCATCTCCTCAGCAGTATCATGTTCTTCAAGGAGTCCGGGTTGGAGAGGAGAAGGAAAGAGTTAAATGATCATCTCCTGGCACAGCTTGAGCCTCCTCCAATACTATCCCAATTAGAGGCACTGCCTGGAATGTATATTTGAAGATTACACGAACCTTTTGTTTCCTGTGAAAATAAATCCGATAACATTAAGAGCCTGATATGTTTATGAAGATCATACTGTTCCTGTTTTTGGTTCAGTCAACCTGAAGACTATAGTGTGCTTTGTCAAAACTTCTAAGAGAATATATGGTTCTCCAACCAAATCCAGGAACAGGGGGAAATGTTCAGATATTGCGAATGAACAATCATCATGGGAGGCTCCAGCATATCAGAAAAGTTTCGCAAGTTTATGTTACCTGAATTCAGTACTATTGTGTTGTAAATCTTGGGATCAAGCAGACCTACGGACCAATTTAATTATTTTTCGGTATTTCGTGGTGCTCATACACTGCAGGAATAACCTCTTCTTTAAACGTGCCCATATTGAATATCTAGATCAAGCATTCTAGATCAAGATACTCAAGAAAAAACTACGAACTTCCCAGAAAACTGCTGGACAATATAGGCACAAGTATGGACATCAGATGAAACCAAGACTATACTGTAAAAAAATGCTCAGTCGAAACCAAGGGGAATATTTAAATTCTCCCTTTGAAAAGGTTTAGATTTTTCAGATCATGGAATAAATCTTATCTTATCAGATCCATCCGTCCTACAAGTTAGCTCAAGATGAATATTTTTATACTAGATCTGCCTGAGATCAAGAACAATTGTTTCATTTGAAGAACTTATCAAATAATGTTTGATATTTAAATATATTTTCCTGTGTTTTTGTAAATTGTTTGTATTTTTATAACGAGATAATTTAAAATCATCTTTATTCAATATAACAGGATAGGAAGCGTTAATTCAAATAACCCTCCATTTACTCTCTTCAATCCTTACTCTCTCCAATACTTACTTCTTCAATCCTTAGTCTCTTCAATACTTACTTCTTCAATCCTTACTCTCTTCAATACTTACTCTCTTCAATCCTTACTCTCTTCAATCAATTCTCTCTTCAATCCTTTCTCTCTTCAATCCTGACTCTCCCCTATCTCTACTCTCTCTCTCTACTGTCTTCAATCTTTACTATCTTCAATCCTTACTCTCTTCAAATCTTACTCTTTTCAATCCTTACTCTCTTTAATCCTTACTTCTTCAATATTTACTCCCTATAATCCTTACTCTCCTATGTAATGTCCAATGTTCTTTTTTTTCTTGATTATCAAAAATATTTTGTTCACATGTATGTAAGTTTTTTTGCGCGAAGCGCCATAAAAATTTTCAGGGTTTTACTTGCTGAATTTTCGTTTAAAAAGTATTAAAAAAAGGATAAATTATATAAGTTTCCTTTTAATATCATATTTTTAATTTTTTCCCTCGTATATGATTGAAGTGATTTTATTTGAACTACTGTTCATTTTAACTATTAACCTTACAAATAACCTTTAAAAATAGTTCAAATGAACAAAAAAAAAGTTCAAATGAACAAAAAAAATAGTTCAAATGAACATAAAAATAGTTCAAATGAACCAAAAAATAGTTCAAATATACCAAAAAATAGTTTAAATGAACCAAACAATAGTGCATTAATGGACAAAAAAGTAGTTCAGATGAACAAAAAATAGTTCCAAGGAACAAAAAAAAGTTCAAATGTACAAAAAAGTTCAAATTAACAAAAAAAATATTTCAAGTGAACAAAAATGGTTCAAATAAATAAAAAAGAGCTCCCGGCCCAATAGCCTACGCCCTTGCCCTAGCCGTATAGCTCTCAGCCCCTGTGTCTGTACGTCCTATAGCCGCACTGCTCGGTACAGAAGGTTTCATAACCTAACTAACCATAAATATATATACAAATTTTTATGTTTGCATCAAATTTTAAACTCTAAAAAAAATACAAATTTTAAAGTAAAGATAAAACCTAAAAAATACGTAAAAATACGTAAAATAAAAACCTAAAAACTTTGAAACATTTCTTGGTATGAAATTTACGAAAACATACGTATTTTTAGGTTTGCATCAAACTTTTAAACTCTAAAAAAATACAATTTTTAAGTAAAGAAAAAACCTAAAAAATACGTAAAATAAAAACCTAAAAACTTTGACACATTTCTATGGTATGAAATTTACGAAAATATACGTATTTTTAGGTTTGCATCAAACTTTTAAACTCTAAAAAAAATACAATTTTTTAAGTAAAAAAACTAAAAAAATACGTAAAAATACGTAAAATAAAAACTAAAAATTAAAAAAATTACTTGGTAAAAAGTATAAGTAATTTTTCGTATAAATTGCGTTTTTGGAAAACCAAAGCATTTAAAAAAAAATGGTTGGTATGATAAATGCGTAAAAATACGTAAATATACGTAAGTTCTACCCAAAAGTTGAGCATAAGTATTTATACGTAAAAATACCTATTAATACGTAAACCTATATAGAGACTTTGGTATTTTTAGGTTTTCGGGTTAGTAGGGAACTTGACCATGAACCCATGATAAAATAAATTTAATAAACTATTTTTTGTTCATTTGATTTTTTTTCATTTGAACTATTTTATTTGAAATATTTTTTTGTTCCTTGATCAATCTTTTTTTTTGTTCATGTATATACTCCGAAAAAGGAAAGCATATAGTAACTATTTTTGGGTTCATTTGATCTATTTTTTGGTTCGTTTGAACTTTTTGTAATTATATTTGAACTGTCATTGAAATATTTCTTTGCGTGTATAAACTCGAAATTTAAATGCATGACCAAACTTCATGAATTCTCTGAATTAGAAAATAGCTCAAATGAACAATTGTACATAATTGTGATGATTTCAATTCCAAAGGATATGGCGTCGACATGTCAGTAGTTCAAAAATGAACAATAAATAGTTCAAACGAAAAATAGTTCGAATGAACAATTAGTTCAAGCAGGTATCCACCAAAAATTTTGCATTATTTTTAATCTCAATCCTATCATTAAATTATAATTTTAAACTTTTAGATTGTTAAAGATTAAAACTGCATCCTCCGGCCCAGCTAGCCTGTACCCTCAAGTGTAGGGTACAGGTAGAAACTGTATGGGCGGACTACCTACAACCCTTACCCATCTGTGCTAGACGAAAATGGCGATACACTGCGTTCACAATTGTCATTTTCATGTTTGGGAGTTCTATTAATAATTTCATGATTATAATTATGTAAACTCGTATTTTAACATTACGAATGATTGAATCTTTCATGAGTTAGAAAACTTTTCTTCCTTAAATTCACATTAAAGTGAAATATAAAGATGTTTTAGAATAATGCATAATATCTGCATTTAAAGGGTTTGTACGCAAAATTGTTTGAATTATAGACATATAATCTAAATTATAGTGTAAATGCGTAGTGTGAATGTTAATATATAAAATTTTATAAATAAATTAATAATAAGTGATTACGGAAATTGAAATAAAAAGTGTTAGTAATTTGAATTTTTTTCTATATTTTGATATTTCCACCAGGTTGAGAAATTTCACCAACAGAAAACGATTATTTCAGCAGCTGTTTCTAACACTGTAATTACTTCTTAGCTGAATTCATGGAAATGAATGAATTTTGGTTTAAAAGAGTGAGAAATTCTCTTCCAAATAATCTTGAGATATTACGTAGAGTATGATTATTATAGTCGATCAAATAAATCTACTTTTAAACAATAATTTACAACAAGCCTAAAAAAACATAAGTTATGGGGGGGGAACATGGATCTCATATGTAACACATGAATATAATTGGTCATGTGGCCGCAGTGCCCGGCCCCTTAGCCTGTCCTAGCCGCAGCCGTCGGCCCAGAAAGTGTGCTTACCTAACCTAACCCTAACTACTAATTTTGTTGAAAATTGCTGAAATTGATGGCCTGTTTTGGCCGTAGCGCTCGATCCCCCAGCATGTCCTAGCCGCAGCGCTCGGCCCAGAAATTGTCTTAACCTGACCTAACCCTAAAATAATAATAAATAAATAAATAATAATTTGCTGTAAAATAAGTGTTCATGTACAAAATTGATAGGAGGGGGTCCAATAATCTTTCTCTAGGAAAGACCAATTTCCGATATACTTACTTTTTATTCGTAGATCTCATAATATTTTTTTCAATTAACGCCAAAATGCGTTCAGAAAACTAATAACCTTTATTTTATTCATACTAATTTTATTTAATTGGTGTGTTAACATTTTAATACATTATATAACCATGAAAAATTTCCATTATGTCTCTAAACTCCTAATCTATGCACAATTATCCAGTGCCATCTGGGACATGCATTGAGATTATTCAATAGCAATTTTTACCATCAATTTATTGGATTACTGGAATATATTTCGCTGGGAGATCACTTGTGACATTTTCAGCGAGTCGATAGATCTTTTTTGTTTCTATTGATAGTGGATTAAGTTAAACCCTGACACCTTCACACCAGGGATCTCGGTGCCCCTGACACCTTCACCAGGGATCTCGGCGCCCCTGACACCCATCACATTGTTTGTCATACATATTCTTAAAACTTATCAATGAGGTGGCATTTTTAATAACTACTGGCAAACTGTTCCATCTTTTAATAACTCTCAAGCTAAATAAGTTTTCCTAACATCTAGATAGATTTGAATGCATTGTCTTGCTTTCTGACAATTAATAGTTTTTTGTTTCAGAAAATGTCTACAATGTAACTGAACTTCCTCCTGCACTGCACCCTAGTATGCTCGCCCCTGGGAACTATTCAACCCCATCACCAGGATAATAGAAGAATCAGCGGGTTTTTAAAGAAATCGTCGATTTTACTTTACTAATAGTTGAACATTAGACGGTTGGTCCGACCGAAAGCTCCATTATTGTATGCTTCCAAATAAAGGCTAGTGAAACGTTGTGATAAATCGGTTATTAAAAGTCTTAAGTGTGTTTAAAACTGTTAAACACGATTAAAAACCTTGAAACACGCGGTCTAAATCTAGAACCACGTAGAAAACTCGAGCAACACGTGAGGAACCTTTTGAAGCACGTTATAAAACTCTTGAGCACGTGATTGAACAGGATTTTCTTGTGGATCGTTAAAGTCAACCTGTGTGAATGGTTGGAATGAGAAAAGACATGGATCTAGAGCGTATAGGTGAGATATTAATGTTTGTCTTAAGGATCTCGACAGAGAGATAAAACCCAAGTTTTTGCCGAGGAGTCGGAAGCTTTAGATCAAATTGCAAAAGAGGTAATTATAATTTAACTATTATTTCTATTATTATTTACTTCGATTATAGTTGCCAGTTATAATCCTAGTAAATTATTTAACGGAAAGGACGTGTTATTACTTATTTTGTTTTTACATTGAGATGTTCAATATTCGATTTTACTAAGATGATTAATAATCGTTAATTCACATTTACTTTCTGGTTATGGCCTTTATTTAGCACATCTCACCTCTAAACTGCTTAACCCTCAAACCACCCCCCATTCCCTTCCTCTCTCGATCAATACCAACAAAGTATATTTATTAAGCCGAGAGTTTGTGTTTTTTTTTCGACTCCTTCTGAAGAAAACAGAAACCTATCGTTTGTTAGATTTTTATGTAATTTTGTTTTCTGCCAAGTCATGTTTATGAGATCATGCAGTTGATGGGAAAATTCTTTCTCAAATCTCATTCATTCATTTAATACTTATAGCACAGTTACTCTTCACTTTTATCCTCAATTAACAAAATTTTTCTTTCGATTTTTTTTATTTCAATTTTAAACCTTATTTTTATCTCGTATTCTTGTATTTTGTATATTAATTGGATTTGTCACT